CTCATGGGTAGGAAGAATAAATATTGTAAAAATGGCCATTCTCACAAAACTGCTATACAGATTCAATGCAATCCCAATAAAAATACCATCAACATACCTCACAGATCAAGAGAAATCACTCCTAACATTTATCTGGAACCAGAAGAGACCTAGAATAGCAAAGACAGTTCTAAGCAGCAAAGGAAAGGCAGGAGGCATCACAATCGCTGACTTAAAGTTATGCTACAAAGCAAATGTAATAAAATCAACATGGTACTGGAATAAAAACAGAGCCGAAGATCAATGGAATAGATTAGAAGACACAACCACAACTACAAACACACTCAACCACCTTATCTTTGATAAAAGGGCTAAACAGGTTCACTGGAAGAATGACAGTCTCTTTAATAAATGGTGCTGGAAAAACTGGCTCTCCATATGCCACAAACTAAAGCGAGACCCATGCCTATCACCATATACTAAACTAAAATCTAAATGGATCAAAGATCTGAATATTAAAACAGAAACACTACATCTGTTGGAAGTCAAATTAGGTAAAAATCTTGAAGACATAGGGGTAGGTAAACAGTTCATGAACAGGAATCAAACCACACAGGAAATATTTCCCAGAATCAATAGCTGGGATCACGTCTTATTAAAAAGTTTCTGCATGTCACAAGAAATCTCCAGCATAGTCAAAAGAAAACTCACTAACTGGGAAAAATTCTTTGTGAACTCTCCCTCAGACAAAGGACTTTTGTCTAAACCATATAAAGAATTAAAAAAAAAAAATCAAACCCCCGAAATTCAAAGACCCAATCCAAAAATGGGCATCTGAGATGAATACACAGTTCTCAGATGAAGAAATACAAATGACAAATAAATACATGAAAAAATGTTCATCATCATTAGTCATTAGACAAATGCAAATTAAAACCACACTGAGATTCCATCTCACTCCTGAAAGAATGACCAGGATCAAGATAACTAGCAACAACAAATTCTGGAGAGGCTGTGGGAAAAAAGGAAGTCTCCAGCATTGTTGGTGGGAGTGTAGACTGGTACAGCCATTGTGGAGGTCAGTCTGGAGATTTCTCAAAAAGCTGGGATTGGAAGTCTCATTTGTTCCAGCTGTTCCACTTCTAGGCATATTCCCTGAAGAACTGAAAACATCATACCACAGTGATATATGTGCATCCACGTTTATAGCAGCACAATTTGCAATAGCCAGACCTTGGAAAAAACCTAAGTGTCCATCAACTGAAGAATGGATAAAAAAGTTGTCTTATTTTTATATAATGGAGTACTACTCAGCTATAAAGAATTATCACATTGATATATTTATAAATAAATGGACACAGCTTGAGACCATACTCATAAGAGAAATAAATCAAACTCACATGTATAAATTCCGTATAGTTTCCCTAGTGTAAGAAATGTTAAGAGTACATAAGAGTTTATAGTGAGCATGATTCCCCATTACATTGCTCGGAAGCCTGCTAATGTCTGCATTCATTAGTTGGAATGGTTTTATCCTAGTTTACCTGATTTTATTATCTGTGATAGTATGAACAGCTATTTCAAAGAAAACAATACTTTAGAATAGCCAGTGCTGATTTAGTATCATCTTACTTTGAAGTCCTATTATGCTTTTGTTTTTCTTTTCTTTGGTTCTATTCTGTTATATCTTATTGGTATTATCATGTGTGATAGTGTAAACAAATTTTCTGTGGAAAACAAGATAATGTAGTAGCCATTGTTCATTCTCAGCTATTTGGTTCTGAAAGCCGTGTAATACTTTCATTCTCTTGAACGGTTTTATACTGTTTTGTTATGTTTGATACTATGGTATATGAAGTTATGCTCAATTCTTTCAAAGAAAGAGACATTATGTAGTTACTTTTAATTATGGGTTGGCTTGTAGTAAAATACTATGTTACTTGCATTGTTCTGATCTGATCTGCTTTGTTATGTCCTTTTTTGTCCTAATCTCTTTAACATAAAAAATATTTTTAAAAATTTTAAAAACCCAAAAAACACCAGATCTCTCAGATTTAAAGAGTCAATCCAAAAACGGGCATCTGAAATGAGTACACACTTTTCAGGTGAGGAAATGCAAACAGCAAGTATATACGTGAAAAAATGTTCACCACCACTGGTCATTTAAAAGATGCAACATTGGGGCTGGGGATTTAGCTCAGCGGCATAAGCACCTGCCTTGCAAGCAGGCAGTCGTGAGTTCGATCCTTGGTACCGATAAAAATGAAAAAGACAAAAAAATAAAAAAAAAGATGAAACTTAAACAACACTGTGATTCTGTTTCACCCCAGAAAGAAAGGCTACCATCAAGAAATCAAGCAATAACAAACGCTGGAGGGGCTGTGAAGAAAAAGAAACCCTCCTCCACTGTCGGTGGGACTGTAGACTAGTGCAGTCAGTGTGAAATCAGTGTGCAGATTCCTCAATCAACTAGGACTGCAGGTCCCACTTCCCCTCCTGGGTATCTTCCCAGAAGTATTAGAAACACCATACCCCAGCGATGTACATGCACTATGTTTGTAGCAGCACAATTTGCAAGAGCTAAATCTTAGAAACAACCCAAATGCCCTTCAGCCGAGGAATGGATAAAAGAGGTGTGTTCCTTTAATACAATGGAGTACGACTGAGCCGTAAAGCATGAGAAACTGGAGACTTTTATGGGTAAATGGATGCAACTCCAGACCATACCGATAAGAGAAATAAACCAGTTGCGCATGTGTAAACATCATATCGTCTCCCTAGTGTGAGAAGGTGAAAGAGCAAATCAGATCCAAAATGTAGAAAAGATGTTGTAAAATGAGAAGAAACTTCAAATGGAAAGAGAAACTGGAAAGGGGGAACGTGGAAGAGAAGGGAAAAGGTGTATATATATACACACACATACATATTAGTGAGGATGAGGATAGTTATACAACTAATTTCTCTTCGTTCATTGAAAAGAAAGGTTTGTGCTCATACTGTTTGGAACATTAAATGCTGGTATCTTGTGCTCTGAGTAACTAATTTAACAATAACAATATGCAATGTATTAACCGTTCATACCCTCCTCCTATTACCTTATTTTTAATCCTTTTTTTCTTAATAAAATCAGCCAGGGGTCGTGGCTCATAGGTGTAATCCAGTACTTGGGAAACTGAGGCAGGAGAATCCCTGCAAGTTTGAGACCAACCTGGGCTACAAGGTGAGTTCGAGGCCAGCCTGATCTGCACAGAGAGACCCTGTCTTAAAAAGAGAGAGAGAGAGAGAGAGAGAGAGAGAGAGAGAGAGAGAGAGAGAGAGAGAGACAGAGAGAGAGAGAGAGACAGAGAGACAGAGACAGAGACAGAGAGAGAGAGACAGAGAGACAGAGATTACATTAGTCTGGTGGCTCACACCTGTAGTACCAGCCCTCAGGAGGCTGAGGCAGAGGGTCACTGTGAATTAGAGGCCAGCCTGGGCTACGTAGTGAGTTCAAGGCCAGCCTGAAGTACATAGCAAGAGCCTGTCTCAGCAAACAAAGAACAAACATCAAACAAACTGACAAAACAAGACATCACCTCAGTGCTGGAACGATCCAAAACTTCATCATAGCTAGCTCAGGCACTGGAATAATAGAAGCCAGAAAAAGCAGCAGAGTATGTTTCCTTGTGACACAGGGATTTCCTAATCACGATTTTCTCTACTCTGGGTCTAAAACATGCCTTATTGAGGCATGGGAATGAGAAATGAGGCTGGGAATCGAGAAACCTTTGAGCAGTTGATTCAAGTCATTTCTCACACCAAAGTAGATTTCCAGCAGCAGATAATTTTAAAGTGCCAAATTACTCTGTCAGTAAATAGTTTAATGATTTTACAGTGGGTAGTACTTTCCAGAGGGCATACAGTCCACCTTCTCCACCATAACATGTACCTGTTAAATGCACGTGGTGCCAGACAGTCAAGAGGATCCTGCAAGAATGTGAATAAAGAAGGCGGAAGGTACCGAGGCAAAGGCTGTCATTCGGAGGCTGCCCAAGAGTCACCATCACAAGACCCTTTGCAGAAGCACAAAGTCACACCAAGACCACCAGGACCTGAAAGAAGCAACACGTCTGCATGGACACCTGCCCAGCAGCTGCCGTTTCAGCTTCTGAGGAGTGTAACCTCGTTATGGCATCTGGCACCTGGGCTTACTGGATCTCAAACTATCTCATGTGTTTCTCCCCGCTTTTTCCTTAAAATTTCCCATCATTCAACTCCACAGCCGCGCTCCTAGTTCACCAAGGCACGTGTATTCTCCTTGCAAGGCCAGGCTCTCCTCCCATCAATGCCAGGCACCCTGAAAGAATCTCTCCCTCTGGCTGCTGCTTGGAAGCACAAGGTGTTGAAATTTTTTTCAAAGGTAACAGAGGGGAGCCATGAGCAATGAGCAGAGGCCGAGGGCTGGGGGAGGAGGAGGAGCTGAGGCATGTGCCGAGGTTGAGGTGCTCTCCACTGAAAAACCAGATCCTCCTCTCACTGCCCCGTCCAGGGCACCCTTTTCCCTAGCCCCACAGGGCCCAGGAGAGAGAGGCCTCCTATCCAAAGCCTGAGTGGCACCATGATCTGGAGCAATCATGGGTCTCACACCCAGCATCAGCCGAGAAGGTTGGAATCAGGCAGGACAGCAATTCTGCATCCTGAGCTTTCCTCCCACCCCGGGCAGAATCTGGCTTCAGCCTGGGGCCCCGGGCACGGCCCAGTGCTCCTGGGGCCCCTTGCTCTGTGCCTTGCTTGGAGGCCTGCAGGAAGAGTGGGCATGGAAGCGAGCTCCCCTCCCAGCAGCATGGCATGCTCGCCCCTCTGACCTCGGGTCCATGGGCTGTGAATGTTCCCATCCTCTGTGCTACCTACAGCCACCAGCTGTTGCCTTTCCTAGCGTCTCCTCTAACTCCATCCCTAAGTATGTGTCCCCCAGGGGAAGCCGCCCAAGACCTCAGAGGACAAAAGCCAGAAACCAAGGAGAGGCTTTAGCTGAAACAAACTCAGGCGCAGAATGGTTGCTCAGCTTTATTTTTTCAGTGCCACACGCTTAATGGCGTCTCCTGTCCTGCCACAGGGACACAAAACAAGTGGGCCCCCGGCACCCAGTGACTGACTAGCAAAGGCAGGAAAAGAAATGATCTACACAGAACGTAGCAATTAATTCAGGAACCGAGGGCCTAGGGAAAGATGCGCACGGTCTGCTAAGGGACACATGGCCTTGAGCTTCCTTTTCCTATCAACACCCAGCCGAAAACTGGGGCCCCAAGCGCTTCATCATCTGGAATATGAGGAACAGGACATCAAGGAAGGAGGTGAACTCTGTGTAGAGACGGTCAAAGTCCTGGGCGATCCATTTCCTAAGCGGAGAGAAAGCAAAAGTCAAGTCAGGACGCTTAACCTAGGTAATCGTGACCTGACCCTCTGCTTAGACCCAACATTTAGTTGCCACCCTGCATCCATACAATGCCCCTCTGTGCCCCATACAGTGCCACTCTTCCCTCCCCAGAAGCCCAACCCCTTGTAGGACTGACACAACTACGCAGCTGCCATTCACAGTCAGCTGGCTCTCAATATCTGAGTATTCCTTAAAAGACGCCAGGAATCTCTGGCCGACCTCCGCTGCTGTGGGAGTCAGGAAGGGCACGCTGAGGGTGCTGAGGAGCCAGGTTAAGGCGGGATGATGTATCCAATGCGGCCCGGCTGGCAGGCCCTCCGTCCAGTACTTCCCGTCCTGTCCAGTCCCGTCCAGTCCCGTCCTGTCTAGGCCCGGGAAGCTCTCGGGCCGTCCTCACCCCACCTGGCTCCCTTCCTTTGCCCCCTTCCCCCGGGACCCCAGCCCCGGTCCCGTCCCCCGCAGGCCACCTTGGGCCCCTGCGCGGCTGGGGCTCTGGCTGGGGCTCTGGCCTGGCCCAGGCCCCAGCCTACCCTCTCCTGCCCTCTGTCCCTTCCCCCTGCCCTCCCCGAGTCCCGCCCGCTCCCGATGCCTGCCTGCGCCCCCAGCCCCCCCGGGCCATGGCGCCACGTCCCGTCCCGAAGGATACAATTCGTGCAGGCCCATGGACGGCCTGCTGATGACAAGCTCAGCCTGCCAACCCGGCCACGGGCCATAAGGTACCAGCATAACGGGCACACGGACGGGAGCGGGTAGGCCCTCGTCTTCAGGCGCACCTGCCGGGCCCGCGACATCCTGCTCTTGCGCAGCTTCCTGGTTTCGGGCGCCACACGGGTCATCAGGGATTGCCCGGCCATCCCGGTCATCTTCGTGGCCCACCACTCCACCCGCCCCGGCTTCAGCCTTCTGCATGGCCGTCTGTCCTCTGTCAGCCCTTTGGAGGCCGCCTCCAGGTGCTCCTCCACGAGGACGTGGCTACGAAGCTCCGCCCCCTTCCCACCCACAATGCACCACAGTTCAGCCACTGCGCCTGCGCAGACTGGACCTCGTGCAGGCTGTTTCCCGCCAAGTAGTTCTCCCCCACAAAGGCTTGTTGTTTGCCACCCCACTGGGGTGGGGGAGCAACCTCACTGAGCCCTGATCAGAGCGGCTGTCTCCACCCTCATGCAATACCCTTGGGCCAATGGGCCCCCGGGGTCCGATCCCCTGCCCCCGGCCGGAGTCCCAGAGACCTCCTTCCGTCATAGGGGCACTGAGGGGTCCAAGGACCTGGTTCTGTACCCGGAAAGTCTGTAGGGCCCTCCAAGCCCCCCGAGGGGGCCGGGGGGTGGGGGGAGGGACGGGGAGGCGCGGGGACACGCCCTGCCTGGGATCTGGACAGCTAGCCAAGCTGCTGGGACCCTGAGGCCTACAGAGGTAGCCCGGCCCTGGGCGCTGTGCTGGGCCATCCCCCTCATCCCCACATGGAGTTCTGGGGGAGGAGGTGGCTCCAGCCAAGCTCCGCCCCACCCCACGAGCTCCAGGCCCGGGATCCCCATCGCGGGTGCGGCTCGCTGGCGGTGCCCACTCTAGGCATCACGGCCATGGGCGCAGTACTTGCTCGTCCCATCTGTACCCCCATTGCCCCCCACCAAGTTCTGCAGGAGGAGGTGGCTCTGGCCGAACTAGGCCCGCCGGGCCCTGCACAGCCCGGCTAAGCCTGAGCCCAGCCCCACATGCTTTAGGCCCGGGAACCCAGTCGGGGTGTGGCTCCCTGGCAGTGCCCACCCTGGACACATCCTCCCTCGGCCACGTGGGTCTCTGCCCCCCAAAAGGTGTGCTCCTGTGGCGGGAGCTCGGGCTGCACCGTGTCCCAGGGCGGGCGTGGGGAGCTCCGTGGCCGGGCCCACTGGCAGCCCCTGGACCCCCCATGGGCCAAGGGTATAGAAGGGCTCCGCCAAAGCTGCAGAACGGGCCCTGCCTGCCCAAGCCTCCTGGCCATGGGCCTCTGCCGAAGTGGTCCCAGGCGCACTGGAGGAGGTGGATCCCCCCTCTGGAGCCCAGCTGGGGCAGCTCCACCTCAGCTCCTGTGCTGACCTCCCTTCAGGGAATTTGGTCTGGGTTCCCTGTCCGTGTGCCCAGGATGCAGCCCCGCAGGGTGTGGCAGAGGATGCCACCGGGCAGTGGCTCTGGCACGGTGCCCCAGCCCACCAGGGCCCTGACTTTGGACCTTGGAGGGGGCCGCTGGGTGGCAGCAGGGCCAAGGCCTCCACCTCAGCAGCCGTGGCAGCAGCAGCAGCAGCAGCAGCAGCACCAGTCCCTGCTCTGCACAGGGTGAGCCCTGCCTGGCCTCTGAGGCCACACCCATCACACCCCCTTGCCCCACCCCACCCCTCTGCTGCCTCAATTCCTCAGTGTAGTTGGCCCTGACCAGCAAGCCGGGACCAGCCATCCTGGGGTCCAGGGACCCTGGTCCAGAGGCAGCAGTACCTCTCTGCCCCCTCCAGTGCTGTCTGCAGTTCCTCGGAGGAGTCTGTCCAGTCTCGCCGCCCCGCCCTGTTTCTCTTCTCCTTGGTGGGGTGAGCTCTCTGGTATCCACGCCCCATGGTTCCTGATCCAATGTGGGAAGCCAGGTCCCTGTGTGCCTGGTCTTTGGGGCAGGCAGGTGCCCACTGAGCTCCCCTGATGGGCAGAATGGAGGATCAGGCTCCTTGGGCTCCCCAGGGCTCCTTCCAGGGGGCAAAAGCCGGTCTGCAGAGTCTGACCCTCTGTGCTCTGCCCCACACCAAAGCGAGGGATGTCAGGCACCAACCGGGCCACTGGGACCTCTGACCAGGCTGCTGCTCCTGCTTTCACTGGGCCCTGTGTGACCCTCCTTCCTGCAGAGACTGCGAGGTGCCCCGGGAACCCAGGATTCGGGAACCACAAAAGGAAAGTGGGCTTGAATAGAGGCGAGAAACATGGGGGACAGAGTGACAGGACCAAGGCCTGAGCCCAGCAGCAGGATATCTGCGCCATCCTGCCCCCATACCCAGTGCCTGGGAACCGCACGACCTCTGTGCTGTCTACAGCCAGCTGTTGGTCGAGTGCACTCACACTACCTCCGGCTCAGTCTGTAAATGCGTCCCCCATGGGAGCCTCCTCGGGGACAAGAGCTAGAAAACAGATGGTGTAGGGAAAATAAACTCGAAGAGGGCATCGTGGCTCAGCTTTCGTTTTTGCAGAGACACACATTTAATCACCGCGCCCGTGCACCAGCAGGGCGACAGAGCCAGTGGGCCTCGGGTCCCCACCGATTAGCCAGCAGAAGCAGAAAACACTGGGGTCCGAGAGGATGGCAATGAACCCGAGAACCCGAGACCTAGGGAAGGCTGTGATGCTGGCAGGGGACAGCAGGCCTCAGCCCCCCTCCCTCCTAAGGAACGAAGGGATACTGAGGCCCCAAGAGCTGCATGATGTGGAAGACGAGGGAAAGGTCAGCATGGAAGGAGGTGAACACTGCGTGGAGGTGGCCAGGGTTTTGCACAGTCCATCGCCTAAGAGTGAGAGAAAAGGAAAACTGAATGAGAATAGGTCCTTGTCCCCAAGCACCCTGTGGAGACCTAACATTAAAGGGCCTCTCTGTGGCCATTACAATCGCCCTCCTGCACCCTGTCGCCCTCCCCACAGACCCACTTTACGGGCTCCACTTTGGGCTCTGAGGAGTGTGGAGAAGCCACTGGGGGTTAGGGAACAGCAGTGCTCTGGCCTGACAGTGTCATCTAGGAGCCCAAGAACAAAGGCTCATGCCACGCTTCCCTGGGGCGGGGAGGAAGAATCGGTCAAAAGTCTGGTCCCCCAGCTAAATTAACCTACATTTCTAGGCCAATGTCTGGAGCACTGAGGACAAGAGTGGTCACCTATGGACCCTCATTCTCCTCATTCCTTCCTCCACCTTCGGATTCTCATTCACCAAGTGCTCATTGTCCTGCTTCCTTGCCAAAATACGATCTGCTGGGTATTCAGCCAGGAGCCAAGGCCATGGCAACAAGACAGGCGTTTCTCCCTGGAGGGAAAGCGGCCTTGGGTCATCCAAGCGGCTAAATGAATGAAACTACAGTTACTCAACGCATGAACCGCTGTTTATTCATTTCAAGTTCAAAAGATGAGAAAAGAACCAACACTTGGCATGATGCCACACACCCCAATCCCAGCAGTGTGGAGGCTGAGGCCGCTGGAGGATCTCTGTGAGTTCAAGGACAAGGTGGGCAACAGAGCGAGTGACAGGGCAAGGTGAACTACAAATTGAGACCCAGTCTGGACAAAACAAAAAGAGGAAGAGGACAAGGAGGGGGAAGAGCGGAAGAGGAAGAGGAAAAAGAAACAAGGAGGTACCCCCTGGGAATCTAGGGCAGAGGGTCAGCGGCAGAGGGCTTGCCTAGCCCCTACAGTGCCCTGGGTTCAATCCCAGCACTGTAGGGAGAACAAAAACAAAACCAAAAATGAAATCAAAAGGAATATGTCCCAAGCAAAGGCTTGAACACACTGTGGGTGTGAAACCGAAGGGCTGAGAGTCCCTCTGCTGGCGCTGGAGGGCGCGGTGCGTGTCTCACGTGGAGTCGGCTCGCCTGGGCAGTCACTGTGCCCACTCCGCTGCCCAGAGGGCAGCAGCGGCAGCAAGACCATTGTGCCAGCACAGAGGCACAGCTCTGGCGGACCCTGCTCACCTTCGTGGATGCCAGGACCCCTCCTGGACAGAACCCCCAAGAGCCTCAGAAGGCAAGGCCAATGTTCCCTGTGTGCTTTCAAGAAAAGGCCACACCCCAAGAAATAGTCCCAGGAACCCCCAAAGGCAACTGCATCCACTAGAGAGCTGCTGTCAGATCATTAGCCCATTTTCCATACCGCCAGGGAAGCCACAACGGAGTGCAGAGCCGGCCTAGGGAAAGGAAAACCTGCACCCACTCCGGGCCTCAGAGCAGGCCTGGGAGCCGGCTTCTTGGCCAGCTGCAAGCTCTCGGGGCTCCCTGGCTCCAGAAGGCTAGGAGGCTGCTAAGCACCTAAGCCAGTCTGCTTAGGAGTTTGCTTTGTCCTCAAGTTGGTCCTGAATGCATAACTGAGTTAGAAAAACATAATCCTATTAAGAAACCAATTTAAGGGTGTGATCACAATAAACAATTATTCTGCTTGCTGTATTTGAGCTCAAAGTTGCTTTGCCTTTAGTGAGGCTAATCCATTTTCCTAGTCATGTTAGAAATGAAAACTGCTTTACTTTTACCTACATTAGAACTGATTTGTACTGTTTTATGTGTCAAAGCAGTAGCCCCTGCAGTAACTCTGATGGGCAAGATCGGCGGCTTTTGGGTTTGTTTGATTTTTGGCACTGGGAATCGAAGTCAGGACCTTGTACTTGCCAGGTAGGCACTGTGCCGCTGAGCTATATCCCTGGCCCTACTCATTGGTTTTAAAGACAGCCTGTTTCTTGCTTTTCCAAGCATCTTTTAAAGGAGAGAAAGGAGGCTCCGCACGGTGGCTCATGCCTGTAACTCCAACGCTCGGGAGGCCAAGGCAGGAGGATTGCTGCCAGTTCAAGGCCAGCCTGGGTTACAAAGTGAGTTCAAGGCCAGCCTAACCTGTGGAGTGAAACTCTGGGGATTTCGCTCAGTGACATAAATGCCTGCCTTGCAAGCAGGCAGTCGTGAGTTTGATCCCCAGTACCGATAAAAAAAGACAAAAAATATGGGCCTGGAATTTAGCTCAGCAGCCAGAGCACCTGCCTGGTAAGTGCCAGGCTTTGAGTTTGATTCCTGGTACACACCCCTCCCTCTAAGAACAGACAAAAAATAAAGATAATAAAGTAAAAGAAAGCAGACAAAGAAAATCGATATACTTTCCAAGCTCCTCTGTCTCTTCAGTACTCTATGGGTGTTTGGCTTTTCAGTTTTTTGGAGACAAGATCTCACTATGTAATTCAGGTTGGAGGTGAACTCACTAGGTTGCCGAGGCTGGCCTCACACTCCAAGCAGTCCTCCGGCCTCCCCCTCCCAAGTGCTAGCATCACAGGGGTGCACCACCACACACAGCCAGTGTGGATTATTTTAAAGTAATTTAACTTTTCATTTTTGTAAGAAGTTAGTAATAAGGATTCATCACAGTTCTGTGAAAGGACTTATTTTTCATTTAACTGCTTATTAATTTTAAAATGCTTTTATCTCATTTGCAACAAGTTAGCATTTAATTTTTAGTACACTGTTTTGGTGTTCGGGGGCAGAGTTTCACGTTGAGCTCTCTCGCTTTTTGTTTGCTTGCTTGCTTCCCTGCTCCCCACACCCTGCCTTTCTCAAGCCTTGTCTCTAGCAGACAACGCGGCTCCTTTTCGCTCAGCTTTTCCCTTCGCAGCATTTCTTATGCTCCCAGCCCACTAGAAGACCTCACGGCCTGTATGACAGAGGCCACTCTGGGCCTCACGCCAGAGTCCCTCTCAGGTTTGCTCCAAATGACCCTGCCCTGCCTGCTGAGCTCCTATCTCTGTTCCCTCCTTTTGCCTAACAATCTTGTCAAGCTGTCTCCCCTCCTTTTAATCTTTCGAGTTTTCAATAACTTTTTGGATCCTTGTAATTAAAAAGATGCAATACAAAGAGTCTTCCTTTAAAAAGGATCGGGCTAGATGGTGCATACCTGTAAGCCCAGCAATACAAAACATCTTCTTTTACATAGGATCAGGGGTGACGGCGCATACCTGTGAGCCCAGCATGAAGGAGGCTGAGGGAGAAGGATTGCCTGGAACTCGAGGCCGGCCTGGGCTACACAGAGAGACCCTTGCTCCAAAAACTAAACAAACCAAAAGGCAAAAACCAAAGCAACTCCCCTCATCAATGACAACAAAGAGGGCTCCACACAGTTTATAAGGGTACAGTGCATGCACTCTATTTGCATACTGAGGGCATAAGGGACAGATTGGAGGGATGGGCAGGCTAGTGGAGAAATAACTAAGGGTCAGGCCTCTGGGTTAAATCCCAACAGTCACCTGGCAAGCCACGCCCCTTTCTGGAAGGCTCTCTGGTGTGGGTCCCCCCCCCCCCCGCCCGCCGCCATTCTTGCCTTCCGTCCTTTTCATTCTTGGATTAGGGGTTTGGGGGTAAGATCATCCCTGCCCAATCTCTTCTCTCCTGTGAGTATGAGCCGCTCCAGGGATGGTTCTGTTTTTTTGTGCTGTCTGAGAGTAGAAGCCAGGCTGAGGCCTCATTGCCAGGGTCAGGAGCAGGTCTTCCAAAAGGCAGTTTGCCAGTGGATTATTTTACTTTGGATTTTGGATACTTCCCTTTGGTACTGGGAATTTAACCCAGAGCCTTCACACTGACCTACCTCACCAGCCCAGTTAAAGTTATTTATGCAGTTATGTATTTATGTTTCACTGTATTTT